CATCGCTGCCTACGCCGACGGCCAGAGGCCCGCGCATCTACATTTTTTCGCCTGACCCCATCAGTGCCGACCCAACTACACCACCACGCGCATGCCTCGCGGCGGATATGCGCAGCAGCAAGAAGGTTTCGGTCATCCCTTGAGGGTGAATCTAGCCCTGCTCGCCAGAAAGACCCCCCCCTTCACTACAACCCATGTCTAAGCAAAAGCTTGTCGAGGAGCGAGGGGAAGAAGGGAGAAGTATCATATGATGACTTGAAAAGAGGGGACTGCATCTTTCTATCGCTGTGGGAACCTGGAGCATCTTCAGCATGCAGACCACAGAAATCTCTACCCTCGATCACAACTGCTGTCAGCAGTCTCTACTTCTCCCACAACTCTTCGTTCCTTTCGGCTCCGGTACGGGAATAATGTGCGCACAGCGCGCCCCACGCATAGCATGCCCTGCTGTGCACTGCTGTGCCCCGATATCTACCCGCACGGACACGGAAACTTTCGTCCTACGAGGGGGCATCGTGCGAAAGCTGATCGTGCCCTTATGACAAATCGGACCATTTTTTATTATTCCTGGTTTATTTTGGCGGCTGTTTGGCCCTTTCGGCCACCCATCGTGACAAGTAATTCGTGAAATGCATACGGTTATCACGTAAAACGCACACGCTGTCACAACCGACCACCTCCTTCTTCAAACACCCAAGAACGGGTAACCTCCTCTCAGGTGAACAACTCTATCGCCGACTGGCTCAATGCACGACGTTTGTAGGTGGACACTCTTTCCATCGCCGTCGATTTACTTGCAAACCGTCGAGCGGCGCTTTTAAGAGGAGCAACTTTGCAGAGTTCCATCGACATGTAGCCAATATTTGCGCTTCTGCCTCACGCTGCGCTCGCCCGTGTCTGTCTTTTCAGGGGTGTCATGGGAATCGGTGGGGGGGGCGACTCTTCAGCACCCCAAGATGCTACAATAATATATCTTGCACAGCGCAAACGTACTCTGGTTGATTTTTACGTTGTTGTTGGAGGTCGTGGTGGTTGAGATATCACATGCTTGCATACAATTAACTTAGAAGTAGATGTACAGCAGTCGATATGGAGCCCTCTACTATGGGTGAGCGTAGAGGCGATTTTTTCTTGGGGTGCTTTGCCGTCGGTATTGAAGACACATCACCCGCCGTCTCGGCAGCACACGGCATGCAGCATGCAATACACGGAGGAGGAGGAGCTTGTGGGACATGAAAACAAAATGTCCACCCAATTGCTGCTCCTGCAGCAGCAGCAAACCAGTAGAAAAAATTGATGGGCAGCTCCCCCGAAGGCAACTTTGCCACCGAAGCTTACGAAGCTGCAACCTTTTTTGTTCATGATCAACATACGCCATACCCAAAGCACAGCAACAAGAGAGGCCTCCACTCACTGGAAACGCATCCCTTTCGACTGAGGTGGTATCTCGAACGGGTAGTCTTACAGTGAGATTATTCAATGAACAATGACCAATATCGGGTACGCCCATTATCGGGTACCGTTATCTTTCGCAGCTCTAGCAGCGCCCTCTTGGCGCCATCTGATTGGCTGACGCCCGCCCCTGCCTGGCCCTGACCCTATTCCTGCCGGGTGCACCTGATCTTGGCTACTCAACCCCCGGAGTACCCAATTTTACTCCCCCCGACCCGAAAATGACTGGGATCTTTGGCCAATGGCTCACTCACTAGAAGTCTGACCACGCTCACGAGCACACATCAGCAACGCCCCGCACTCGAATTCCGATGCTTGCGACGGCGGGCGGAGAGGCGGACGCACCGCCGGCGGCGGAATTCTCGTTTGAAGGTGGATATCTCTGCTGAAGGTATTCATCAGACACCCGCCTGGCCTTGTCTCTCCGAAACGAGACACGAGAGAGTTCCGCCGCCGGCAGTGGGTCCGCCCCCGCCTGTCGTCGGAAGCGACGGAATTAGTGCGGGGCGTGGCTGACATTTGCTCGTGAGCGCGGTCTTTCTTCCGAGTTGGGTGTTTGTCATGGACCCCAGCCGTATTCGGGTAGGGGGGGGGGAGGGTACTCTTGTGTTTTGCATGCGTTAGCGGTTGGACCATTGACCACGCGTCCTCGAGAGGACGGAGCATTGTTCCCACAGGACCGATCACCGATGGCCAATGGTTCCTTCCTACTTTGCCAGAGGTGGCTCAACAATGTCTTCCCTAGCCTATCTATCCTACCGATATCACTTCCCGCCTTTTCAACCCACTTCCTACTCTTGCTGGAGACATGGTCACATTCAATCACAATACGCTGGAGCCATAGATATCCTACGTTACTTGCCAAACCTCGTCAAAAGTGTGGGACCCCCACTGTTGAGGCTGCCTTAAACCCTGAAAAATGCGGGACCCACTACTTGTATTCACCCCCGAAAATTGTATAGTGCGGGTGGGTCGATACAATGCGGTTCTGTTGGTTTGGCATCGTGGCATATTCCCGCACTATTCCTAAACATATATTTACATGCAGCCGCGCAGCAAGTTTATGTGGCCCGTTATAGTGTAGCCCTGAATAATAATATTGAAACGTCAGATACAGTAGCATCAACATCTTCTCTCTCTTGTCACAATCTCAACCCGATATTTATTGTGACATGTTGCCACAACTTTTGAGGACGGGGCCTTCCATAGTGAGAAATTTATTGGGCATCTCACCCCCCGAATACAGAGTGGCAGTTTTGGTCCTCGACAAGATTTCGCAGAGTTGTGTGCAACTGACTAGACCGGGCATTAGACCGGGCATTTCCCCCCGCAAGGCGAAGATTCTTCGCAGCACATGCCGCTAGACAGACTCGGCAATTGGCCATCAGAGCGTTTACCAAGTCATATTCGATTAGTCGGTTGACGCCAACAGGCGCAAGAGCGTCGTGACGGTTGGGGTTGGTGCACCGGGGTGGGGAGTGCTCGACGTTTTCAATGCTTGGTTGCTCCAGATGGTTTCGCGTGCACTACTTTTCCATGTTTTTTTGATTGTGCTGCTTATTTCCTACATTGCCCGCCGGAGAAAAAAAAAGTGCGACTTCGATGCTGTTCGTTTGGGTATCATTTTCCAGTCTACCTGCACACGACGGTGGTAGGTTGCGAGCACAGAAGCCCTCGTTGTCACTTGGACGATCAATTGCCGTTTCACATGTGATGGGCAGTAGCTGCGTTGTAATGTGGATACGTGCGACTTCGATGCTGTTCGTTTGGGTATCATTTTCCAGTCTACCTGCACACGACACTGCTTTTCCATGTTTTTGTGCTTGTGTTGCTTATTTCCCACATTGCCCGCCGGAGAAAAAAAAAGTGCGACTTCTATGCTTTTCGTTTGGGTATCATTTTCCAGTCTACCTGCACACGACGGTGGTAGGTTGCGAGCACAGAAGCCCTCGTTGTCACTTGGACGATCAATTGCCGTTACACATGTGATGGGCAGTAGTTGCGTTGTCATGTGGATACTGCCGCACACAACTGCTCAACCATGAACATGACGATAGTCACCCGAGACGCCTCTACAGCACCGTACTTACCGTAAAAATGCGTGTTATGCCACCATTCATTCATTTTGGCACCCAACGGTGTCACGGCACCGGGGTGCGCAAAGAAATCAAAAACGACTTCATTTAATTGCACTTCCGGACGGGTATCGGTGTTAACGCAACCGGTGCGATATCAACGATGTTCAATCTGCTTCGCACGTAAACTTGCTTGCTTCCGCAAGGTACCGGTACCCGCTGGGCCACGTTGTGAACTGCATGTAACGAACGGCTGTGGGGCCGGTGAGTATCAATTGGGGCGCCTTCCATTTTCATGGTTGTATGTATCGTTCCGTCGAGGTGTACGCGTAGAAACGATTCAAAAGTAACCACTGTGTACCCTTCCGTATCGCACCCGTCGGTGATACCGCACCGGAGGTGCGTTGGAAATCTACTGTAGAATGAAACGATTTAGCTCCATTATAGCACGTATCGGTGATACGTCACCGGGTGCGATAAGAGGCCAAGAATGATTACTGTAAGAAAACGATCGCACCCGGGTGCCACAACACTCACTATTACGGTATGCATATGAGTGTAGGCAAATGCACCGCTGTCGGTAACGTGCAAATCAAGGCTTATTCTCCGATAAAGTGGCTATTGTGCGCTATTCACGGGCCATTATAATAGTAGAAATGTGGCAATGCTATCGAATAGTGGCACTGCCCTTTATTGTGGCCTATTTCTTCTTGCCCCTACGTGCCACTACGTCGGGCCACCTCCGGTAGTGCGAATTCGTCACAAGGAACCCCGGAATTTCTAGTTGTCTTCACCGAGGACTCTTAAGTTTTTCAGTAAAGGATGCTGTGCCCTGCTACTTAAAGCGCTTTGGTGCTAACAAGTGACTGTCAGTACACAGTATGTGCACCAGAAGGGTGGCGTGGACGTGCACCCTGTCGAGGCTGTAACTTTTTGCACGTGTCATCTGTTTTTTTCACTGTCTCGGTCTCGCCGTTGCGCTCACTCTATCTCACTCCATCACTAGACTACACACGGCGGCAACGCAACCACCCCCTTGTTCCCATCACGCACACAAGATCGCGTTTGTTTGCGTACATTTGGTTTTCAAGCAGTCCGGCTTGCCGAAAAATAGAATAAACTAAAACAAATTGGGGTGTTGATGGACAAAAGTGACTGTGAAAGTGAAATCTTCAGACACTTCGACTTTTTTCCCATATATTGGTAAATTGCTATGTGGATCGCCGGCAGGGGAGGCTGCATATGTGTTGTCCATAAGCAGCACGAGTGCCGTCGATGTCACGTCGAATCAACAACAGTAGTAGTAGTATAGTAGTAATAGTAGGGTAGTGAGGGTAGTGAGGGTACCAATATCTGAACCTCTGGCATGAACATTAACATTAATTCATCGCATGTATGTGTCTCTCTGCTGGGAGTTGTGCATTGCGCGCTGAAGACGGCCCCTCGGCCCTCAGCGATTGTCCTCAGACCTCGGTCCACAACGTTTCACTGGCCTCCTCCCTTATCTCCACCCTCCTCCTTACGATTCGTTCCGCGCGGGCGCCCAATCGGCAGGCCTAAACCGTACGACGCCGGCCGCGAACATGAGGGCAGCAACGGCCTCGATCCTGGCCCTACTAGCTGTCTTCACGAGGACAGGGTCCGCTAGCTGCGTCGAGAGCCAAGGCATCGCCACCGGCGGCGGTGAAGGCCTCCTCGACTTGTCGGTCCTACTAAACGCATCCGCACCCGGCATTGTTCCAGCTGTGAGTGAGGCTGAGTGGGTCATTCCTTGGGCGGTACCGAACAGCCATTGCCTGCGCTTGAAAGGTGGCATTCGTCGGTTTCTAGCGCCTGTGGCCGTGCAAAACGTTTGGGTTTTCACGCCTTTGAAGCTACCTCTTTCGTGACCGACCGCCTGTACCTCAAGCCGGGTCCATCCCCGCGAGTAGAGCACGCCATGACGACTGTCTTGCTCCTCCACGCCTGTTCCTTTCCGTTATCGGTAGATCAAAGAATGCTCGGGCGAGCTGGAAACACCCATCGGGATGAGGCTCTTCACTGCCCTCGACGCGGCCCAGTTCTCGCTGGGTAAGTGGATGGTATGGCACACGAAAACATAGCTCCGTCGTCGTATCCACCGGGTTCGAGGTCTTCGTGGAATGGCTTTTTTGGCTCGCGCTGCAGTACTTCAGCACGTGACCCACAATTTCGAACTTTTCGGTTGTTACGGTCACAATGACTGTGTTATTGTCTGTGCCTCGTATTCCTTCCTACCTTACTGTCATCCATTTGCTATCCACGCAAATCACTTAGGGAGCATGTTCGAGTCCAACGGGGTGGCACTTGACATATTCGGCGACAAGGAGACGTCCGACGCCCGCCGCCGCTGCCAGCCAGCCGACGGAGATGAGGACGGCGCGGTGCTTTTCAACATGCACCTAGGCGTGGCCGGATTATACATGGCCGCGTACGTCGGCTCCGAGCACATGCCGTGGTGCACCGATACTGTCTCCGCCCTGATGGAAGCGTACGGAGCCCCCCTCTCCATGCTGGATGTTGCTGACGCCAGCACAGACACGCCGTGGGGACTGGCCAAGGCCTACGTCGACGAGGTCATGTCCTTCCTCATGGAAAACGATGGCTGGAACGCGGACGGGGGCCTCGGTGGAAAGGAGTTCAACCGCATCCCGTTCACGGGAGACTTCTCCTATACGGACTCTGGAGGCAACGAGTGAGTTACTTAGCTCGAACCTTTCATGTACACCCGGGCAACTCTCCGCCCGCCGTGTGCTCAAGCCTTGTCCCATGTTGTCTAACCCATCGACTTGACTGACCTTCCTCACGGCTCGCCTCGTGCTCCTTGTACCGTTTCACGGCGGATACTTTAGGTGGAACGGATACACACCCAAGAACACGCCCTACAAGGTATAGTACATGGGTCGAATTGTACGAAGTGCTATGCATGGTCCTGCAAGGAAGAATTAATATGTTCTGGGCGTAATCTCGTGGCAAGATTTTCACTGCCTAAGTTCATCGACAACATTCCAGTGTTTGCTTGCTAATTCTCGCCGCCAGCGACTTGGAAAGGCTGGTGTCGTCACGGTTTTTCATTCATCATTCGGGCGGAGAGATGTTCATTGAAATATGCTGGTCTAGTAACACATAGACCCAGGGGTTCTGCTTTCGGAGTGAGCTCAACAGAGCGAGCAAGATCCAGGGGGTGATGCAAGCCCAACAACAAATATGAAGCCGTGACAACGACTCTACAAACTATCACACAATCACAGCAACTGGAAATTGAAAGTCAAAGTCAAACGTGCGAACAAAGGTTACACTATTTTTTACAGGACACGGGAGGAGATTGGAAGAAAATCGTTTTCCTGTTGCTCGAAGGGAAAGTGCTTGCCTCCATCTGGGGTTTAGCTATACGTTTCCCGCCTATGCCTGCGATAACCTTCCACTGCTCCATCATGTTCTACTGGCTGCGGAATAGACTAGATGGTGTAGACCCGAAGCAGAATAAGAGGAAAACGCAAAACCAAATTCGGCCAGTACGAGGTTCGAATCCGCGAATATGGGTTGGGAAGCCCAACATGCCCATCGGGCTACCAGACAAAATAGTAGAAGCGCTAACCTCCAGAGGGAGACGTACAGAGAAGCTGTAGTCCACGATTAATCAGACGGAGAGGGGGCGCGATTCCACCATTCAGTGGAACGCACCTGCCCCCCCAGTCTCCCACACTGCTGACAGGTTTGCTAAACCGCCCATCGGACACCGATGGGTCACCCATGAGCATACCCATGGGCGGCCCATGAAGTGCCCATGAAGTGCCTACTGTGGGCACTTCAACCTAGAACTTCACCGGCATATCAACGCCACCTACAAATCAACCTAGAACTTACCCACCAGCGCCAACCTAGAACGTATCGTGTGCGCTTGGAGTTAGGGTTAGGGTTAGCGTCAGGGTTATTAGCCGCTGTAGTGCCCGTTCCAACGCGGATAATCCAATGTTGAGGAGTACAATGGTTCGGTTGAAGGGCTCTCATTGGCCGCCCACGGGCTGCCCATGGGCTGCCCATGGGGGCGGTGTACTCATAGTCGTGCATGCCGTAGTCGTTAGACCATCGACCTCGCATCCCTACAAAGCCGGAATGGAGCACGCCCGGGTCTCACCGGACCAGGCTCTCACATCACCAAGCACGAAGCGCCGTGAGGTACTCGGCGAGTCGCATGAAGGGTGTGCTGCATCCTGCTAAGGGTGTTCGGCATCTTGTGCTTACTTCCTTGCGTACGGATGACAGCTGTGTATGACTTTTATTTATTTTCTGGTGATTCACTTCGAGAGACAGTTGTAAGCACTGTGTAACTGCCTCGAGAGTGCTTGACCATATTAACACAACGTGGTGCGATCATCCCCCTTGCGCGGAGTGAGGGTTCTCGACCCCGCACAACATGATCTACTCGACCACCATTCATTATGGTTACCGCCAAAAAAAAAACAGAGGTGAAAACAAACGGTAACCTGGTGGCCGAGTTCACGAAGTGAATTGGCTTGTTTTACAACGTCGTTGCCAAGCGACGAAAACCCAACCCCGATGGCAAACACCAGGGGAGGGGAGGGCAGCCCATATGGGCTGCCAGTGGGCATGCCCATGGGTTACCCATGGGAGTCCCATGGGTCGTTTGGCAAAACTGTAGAAAGTGTGGGAGACCCTGCCCCCTTGCCCCCTTGCATTCCATCACCGTGGTTTGATTCCAACACAACCGACATATATCCCCCTACCGTTGGTGCAGTTTGCGCGCACCAAGAAGTGGCAGCCGTTGCTGGAGTCGGACGGCCTTGGCTACATCACTGCCCAAGAACACGTGACCCCTCACATTGGCGTAACGGCTCGGTTCTTTGGGTTCGACACAGCCGAGAATGAGGAGGCATGGGGTTCGCGCAAGCTCGACGCGCCGCCTTACAGGAACAGGTAACTTGGGTAACCATTCCACACCAAGTACGAGTAGCTGAAAGAATCGGTAAGTTGGGTCACACAGACGAACGCTCGGAAAGGTAACGCGCAGAATGTCGTTTGAGTACGCATGCTCTTGGACGATTGAAGTTGGTGCCTGGCGTTCATGGCATCGAAAAACTCTTCATACGCAACGTACCTCGACTGCATTCATACTAACATGCCCATCCTTGCACACATTCGTTGAACATCGAGAAGAGCCGGGACTGAAGGGGTGGCTGCACTTTACACTCGCTGTCGTCTTCCCGCCCACCATGGTATGTGCAGGCATGACGAGATTGCCAGGGAGGTTCTTGAGGCGTCAAAGCTAGCTGCAGATGACCCAGCGAAGCAGTTCGCCATATCCTTCTTCGACAACAAGGCTACCTCTTTGCTCCCACTCATGACTGATTACTTCGCCCAGTAAGTTACCACCTTCCCTTGCCTAAAGTAGTTTATATGGTATGCACTCGATGGACGACAACAGACCGCGGTGCCCGGAGCTCAGCACACCCCAAGTTTTCGACGAGCCCACAATGTGTATTGGTCGTTGGACAGGACGACCAGTCGAGCGGAAGTTTGATCCGACAATATCGCGAACTCCTCCGACATCCGGTCAGTTGAAGAAAGTGAAGTGAACCATGTAGGCACTGCCCTCATCCTCATCGTGTATAGCAAACGACGGTCGATGAAAGTATAATCCTATGGGAGTGCACTGCGTTCGTTTCGTACAACTGCGTGTGGCAGGCGACGTGACACCCTGTCGAGACTCGAGTTCTTCAAGGTCAATCTCAAGCTTCAGCTGGGAATCTATAACGGAGTTGTGCTTTCATGGCGGGAGAAGGTACGGAATCTAAGACAAGACAGATACTCGGGCAGTAGAATAGTTGCGGCACTCGGGATGGGGAAGGACAAGGGGGCTCGTGAAACGCAACGCAAGGCTTGATGCATTGCTCCCCCCCCCCCCCGCCCCGCCCATTTTTTCGGGCGGTTTGCTCAGTTTGTCCAAGACGCTTATTGTACAGGATATAGTATGGGTATAAAGTATTTTCATTCCATATTGTACAGTATCCTGTAGTATCACACTATCAAAGAACCATCGATAAGAGGTGTCCAGGATCAGTTTTGTTGTTAGTTGTCTTCAAGAATTCATAACCGTTGGTTCCGGTCTCCGCTCTCAGTACCAAATCCTCCTCCTCCTACCCACCGCTCGTTCTCCCTCCGTTATAACGTGTCCGTACGAATCCATCAACTGCTGTCTGTCGGTTGAGTTGTTGTGAGGTGTATAAGTTCAGGTGCACAGCCCAGCGATACGAAATCCGATACAAAAATGAATATGTTGGTTATGGTATACCACTCTCAATCCCCTATTGGATATACGGTACATTACACCCCCCCTGACCTGCCCTTCACTCAGTTTCGATCAGTGCATCAAGCCTTGCGTTTCACAAGCCCCCTTGGGAAAGAGAGAGGGGAGGGGCGTGGTACGGAGTTTTTTTTTTGTGGTCAGAACTTGTTGGCCCCATCCAGTCTGTATACCATCATCCACAACATCCTCCGCATGCCGTTTTGTTCTTGTTCAGATCCGCCACGACGCTCCGCGCCCCCCTTCAGTGGTCAGGTGAGCCATTCAGCACCGAATGTTGGCGGATATAGCACGAGCACCAGCTGCGTGTGAAAGGTAGTCTATTCGTTCGACCTCGGTCATGAGTATTTGTCACGTGGTACCGCAGCTATTAGTTTGTAATAAAACGTACTAACCCTTCGCTGAACGGCCAGGAACGAGATCGGAGACGAGATTGTCGAGGCTTACGCGGGTCCCGACAGCGGTGTTCAGAACATGACGGCCTCTGAATGGGTACGTCGATGGTGTTTTCACCTGTAGGTTTGAATGAAGTGCGTGTGCTAGGCTACACAAGGCAGACACTCCCGCCTTTGTTTTACATGAGTCTTCGAAGGTGTGAGAAATTAAAGCAAAGCCGTTGTATGGTTCGAAATGTCCGCGCGCACCTCTTGCTCTACTTCTACATAGCGTCCTGGTACATCCGGTGTTATTTTGTGTGCTTCTCTTTGCCTATGTGTGTCTCTCCACAATACCTTTCCACGTATTTCACCCGGTTTTGCGCACCTACTACGGTCATTTTCTAATTGTGCTACTCTATCACTCGTCGTATCGCTTGTCTGCCCTGGCATTCACTCTCTTCCTTCAGGAACCCTACATCCGCACAATGCCACACTCTGAGTACCCGTCGGCCTCTTCTTGTTTGTGTGAGGTGAGCAAGAGTGAATGGTCTTCAGACAGTTTCCAGAAGCGCGCCTGTTCAACGGTTGGTATTACAATATCTACGTCGGAGGCGGCAGGTTTTTTCGTTCGGTGCTCTACCACCGATCACCTCTCTACAAGAATGTCAAAAACGAGTCCTGCCGCAGCTTGCTGTGAAATGAATTGTGAACTTGTATGTCGATAAAAACCTACTGCTGTTTTGTGTCGTATAGGGTTGTCAACCGGTATGGTCAGAACTGGGTACCCGGCCTGCCCGGACCGGGTACCCGGTTCTGAAAATACCCGGGTACCCGATTGCTCCGTTGTTTCGATACACGGCGCCCCCAAAATGCACACACAGCACACACAGACAGGCGCTTCTCTTTTCCACGAGCGGAGTACGGGGCGGCGGGGGCGCTGCCTACGTTTTTCTACTTTTCTGTGGTTCCTTCCGTCTTCGGTCGGTCCTGTTTTTGTTGCCTTTTTGTGCGGAAGTGGCATAACGTTGGGGGGAAAGGAGTTTTTTTTGTCCGGTCCATTTGTTGTATGTTCTTCTTTGTTGGGTAGTTGGCCTGTGTCGACGGAAGGCGTCCGCGCCAGGTGGACCGGTCCGTGCGGATATTCCAAGGTACCGACACTGAGCGGAAACAGGAACGATTTCATATGCAACAAGGTACTTACTACGTAGGTGGTTGATGGCCCACCTGCCGTACGAAGAGCGCAAAGTTTCGTCGTGGCGCGAAGACACTGAACGCAGAGTTAATAAACTGTGATGACAAGGGAGAGTGTTCGTGTGCGTGTATTGATAAAGTTCAGCAATTGAAAACGCCGGTTCACAACCCTTTCGCACAACACGCTGATGTCCTTTTGCCTCTCTCTTGCAGCAGAGAAAATACACAAGCAATCAATGTATTCAGAGTACCACAAAAAGACCGGGAGGTAGGTGCGGACTTTTTTCGGCTCGTCCTTTGGCAGGTCATGCCCTGTGGCCATTGTTGTTTGTACACTGGTCACGGTCCCGAGGCCAATGCACCTCTAGAATCCGGGTACCCGGCCGGTTCCACCCTTGAAGACCCCACCGATCCGTTTCCAGTTTTCCCAGCCGGGCGAAAACCCCAGTGTCGTTAGAACTGGTGGAGTAGCTCGTAGTGGTGTCGCCTTCCTTGAATGCCTATCCCTCACTCTGCGGTTCCGAGCAATCTTCCTCGGCTCGTGCAAAGACTACTGTAGCGATGCACTCTCGCTGACCGCCCTTTCTTCCGTTGTACTGGTTTAGGCATTTGCGAGTGCACTCAGGGTGTGGGCTGGCACAGACACCATCAACCCTCCGCTGGAACAACCCGAAGAAGATCCGCTCGTGTCGTTCGCGAGCTGGAGCGAGATTTCGGAAATGTGCGGCGACTCCCGGGTGTGGGGTGGCCTGCACTTTGAGGTGAGATTACTTGTCATCGTACGCTATATTTCTTGTGTTGTCGAGATGTGCTTGCTGCTCCGCAAGTGCCGTCACCGACAGACAAGGCTACGGAGAACGATTCCAACGCTCTTTCTGGGTCATTTTCTGCGCTGCTACCAATGGGTGTCGCCTCTTATTTGCCCCAGGAATCTGTGCCGGCCGGGGTGGAGCTTTGTGGCGGCGACGAAATGGCCATATCTATTGCCGCTTCGATCGACGGGCTGACCGCCGGTGACGAGTCTGTCGCCGTGTTCAAACGTGATATTGGCGAACTCATGCTTCGGCCCCTGTAAGGATCGGTGTCGGCAATGATGAAGCCGCCGCCGACGGCTTCGATCTAAACTCGCCCGAGAATCTGTCGGGTCTTGAGAGAGGTGATCGCATCTGGTATTTATCATCCTTCATGTTGTCATGTTGAGGCTATAGTGCAAACCAGGGTTAACTTGTCACTTGGGCGTGTCCCTTTGCGTCACGTGCTATTCAGCTGGTGTTTCCTGCACGGCGACGTGTATTTCACGCGCTATCTTTGCAATACACGCGCCAGCTTAAGATTGATTTTGACGTTTGTTTTTTTGCAATCGTATGGTCCCCAAGATTGGGTGTTCTAGTACTGTACGATCAGTGACTCCTCCCATTTAGATAATGGGGAAAAGTGAAATTAGTATAATCGAAACGCGATGTTAACGAAAATGGGGAGAAGTACCGTAACATTCTCCCCCTTTCGTTTTGGAAGCTAAAGTAAAATGGCTATTCTCTTCAGCTCATCAGCAACCCGGATTTTTTCCCAACTGTTGTGCTTCTCGAGGGCCATTGGGATCAAACTACCGTCTTGGCGCAAGGTAGATCGGTTTGAACGTAAATCTGTTGACAGTGTCGTCGTATGAGCGTATGAAGCCGTCGGGTTTCGCCCAGCTGTCTAGTAGTATTCCTCCCGCGCATCTACTCGGCAACTCTTTCATTGATTCTGTTGAGTTTGACTCTTGGATTGTCTTTGTGAGGGAGGTGCAACTGTTACCGTTTCACAATAGAACGGGAGGTGGCATCCCATCCCTAACCCAACTGGTAGCGACGTGTGCTGGTACTTGTGTGTGGATCGTGAGAGATTATACGTGCGCAGTATGACGTCGAACAGGGACGATACGCAAATACAAACAGGGAATAATAGGTCTGCTGATTAATGTTGGGAAGTGTCAAGTGTCAAGTTTTTTGCGTCTTTAGGAGACGTGCCCCACCGTCGTCTCGCCTTTGAGCGCGACGGAGGCATGCGCTTTGTACTGTACGGTCGATGGCACATTGTGTACGCGATGTTGGAATTTTCTCAATGACTTCAAGATTGTTGGGTGCAGAGCGGACTCTCTGGGTACTTAGCTGTCCTTGTCGTACCTTGGATGCTGCTGGCATGCTGCCTGGACTACAACCGTCTGGTGTATCTGTCTGTGTTGGCCACATAAGCACCGTGTGAACAACATCTCTCCATCTTCTTCTGCGCTGAAGTACCGTGAGATTGCGAGTCAGCGCACAGGGGTGCGAACGATTTTCAAAGCGTAATTTCTCCACAAGCAGGAGGGTGCGAGCGCCAACAGATACTTGTCAGGAAAGCTCTCGATGAGATATTTCCAAAACCTCCCTTTTCGACAGTGTTAACATCCTGGTTGTGGAGAAACTACGCTTTGAAAATCGATCGCACCCCTTTGCGGTGACTCGCAACCTTACGGTTCTGCTGCTGTGCTTCTGCTGCTACAAGCTCCACGAGCAATCACACCGATTTGCGTCGGTGGGCGTCAGCTTCTGCTGCTACGTGCTGGCGTACGCACACAATCCCCATAATATGCTATATTTTCTTGAAAACACTGTAATTCCGTGTTTCCTTCAGTGCGGGCGTTGGTCCGACGTTATTGGTCTGCGGCTATAGACCCGTATGTGCGTGGTTGGAGGGTGGAATGGGTTAGGTTGATCCCCCCGCTTTCCCTTTGTACGAAGACCTCCCGGGGCACAAAAGATCACGCTGCGTGAGGAGTGACATCCCGAAACACTACAGTATCATGTACTTTACGGTGTACCAAACCAATCAATTGGTGGTCATAACAGTCGTCGTGTACTTTTTTGTCCTGGCTTCGGCCATTGCTGAAGAATGCCTGCAATGTCACACGTGAAAAATCGAATACACGCCGCGAGGACAAGCGAACCCTACAGGACAATAACACGACGCCGGGACACTCGAACACAAACGCACTCGATAACGGTCTGCGTCCACGTGTAAACATGGGCGCCGTGCATCTCCGCCGACAGAAATTCCAGCCCTCGTTCCCGCATAGCCAGCAACGCGGTAGCATGATAACGTAAGACGTCAGCAGTTCTCTATGGTCAACGAACCCCTCCCCAAAACTCAAAACATGCTTCCATGGAAGCACGGCAACTTCCATGACAGAAACTTCCACGCAAGTACTTTTCAGGGCTGGCAGGCAACCGCCATGGGAGGTTGGAAATTTCCACGGCCATGGAAGGTTGAAACTCTCACGGAGGAAGTGCTTGTAAGGGCTGACGTGCAAACGTCCGCGAAAGCCTGAAGAATTTCATGAAAGCAACAGCAATGTCTGGTAACTTCCATGGAGGCCGGGCAATGTTCATGAACGCAGCATTTGCGGAAGTAGTTGTCGACCGCGAAAGAGAAATTCCGTGGAAGCACGCATAAGTCCATGGGAGGAACTTCCACTTAAGGAAGCAGTGTCCAGAGTTGCCTGGCCACTTCCATAAGAAACCACGCCAACTTCCATGTAACAGCTACAATAGCTCTGGTTGAACACACGCATATTTTTGGAGGCGTATCAGCGTAAATGGAGGTTGTGCGACGTTAAGTAAACCCGTGGCACTCAAACATCATGTTGGTGTGACATCCCCAAGTCTTTCACGATGACTTCCATGGAAGCGGGGAACCTCGTGAAGGATAGCCATCGTGCAAGCTGCGAGTTCTTCGCGATGGGTTCCATGGAAGCCGGACTCGGGTGGGATACAGCTTCCGTGGAAGTCCCTGAGTATGACTTCTGTGAACGTCTCTGCCTTTCTCAGCTTCCAAGGTCAAGCAGTCTTCGCTTCGATGGAGGTCGCTCACGTTGACTTCGATGGAAGCTGAACTCGTGTGATACGCTTCCATGGAAGTCGAAACCTCTACTTCCATGGGAGCTATCCGAAGGTGGGCGACTACGATGGAAGTCTATTTCAACTACTTCTTCTGTCCATGGAAGCTCATCCGTGGAAGCTCGTCGGCTTCCACTAGCTTCCATTGCAGATGTCAATAAACCAACATCCATCCATCGAAACAAAAACCACTTCCTTCCATGGATTCCGAAGGATATTTCTACATCCATGGAAGCTATGCAAATTTTTCAAATACTGAAGGAAGTAGGAGATTGTCGGTGGCCCACTCGAGGTCACGATGAGCTCGTCGGAAGAGAAGACCGCACGCCGCACGGAAGTCGATGGGGAGTGGCAGCGTCGGCGGCCCATTGTGTTCTCGAAAGGTGAGTACGGAGCTCCTCACATTCCGATGCAGAAACGGTAGGTGCCGGGGCAGCAGGGCACCGCTCGCGGTAACCGGTCCCGCGAGGAGCCGACTCCACAGGGTCAGCCGGGGGAGGCGTTCCCCGGGCGGCGACACGTCGAGACGACCATATGGCCGACGCACTGCCGCTAGCAGGCACGACGCAGCGGCTCTGTCGCGGTGTGCTCAGGCGGCTCTCGTCCCGCTCTCGGACCTTCCAGGAAGGACATCGGCCCGCGCTGGCGCGAGTCGACCGAGGCGTGTCCCTTGTGGAGCGAGTGGAGACCGGCATCACTGCCGTAGCCGTTGAAACCGAACATGCGTAAAGCAGCACACCTGATTGAAACTGTCCACCGAAGAGATGGTGGGAAACAGGAGCGGCACCAGAGGCGGGCGGGCGGAGCAAAGAGGTTGATTTGGACACGCGGCGACTGATACCTGACCGTACCGGCGCCACGTTGGCGAGAACGGACACCCAGATTCCGTTTCTCATGGTAGTCAACCGCTCTTCTACTGGTTCTATGAATGACTCGAACTCCTCCTGTCGTGGTGTCCTGCGATTGCAACCCCAAGCGAGGAGACAGACAATCCATTTGCAGCAACCACAAGTGAACTTCGAGATCACCGTCTTCGATAAGACGAGAGGGCCCTGCCTCAGCGTCTGCGGGTGGCGAGTTGCTGTAACTGTGAAAGCATATGAGCTACCTGGCTAGTCTACCAGTATGAAAGTATCAGTAGTTGTTGAGGGAATTGCACAAGCGGTGTACTCGATTTCGCCCTCGCCAAAAGAAAGATAACTACAGCAGTGGACCAAGGGTGTGCGACAAAAGTCATCCCGCACACCAAGGTACCCCCCCGAGAGGGCCAAATACTAGAGTTGGAGGTGGAATAGTTTTTTGTGGTGGTTGCACAAAAGTACCTGCAGTAGGCTTGTGCGTCTGTTCATTGGCTGACTCGTGTGATTTTCTCGTCGTACAGAAGAACGGGGGGCGGCCCATCATCACCAGCTAGAGAGGGGGGCGTACTCGTTTGTTGCTTGCCGTTGTCATTTGACCATCGACCAGCTAGAGAGGGGGGTGGTATCCATCATCATTCGCTAGAGGGCGGGGTGGTGTCCATCATCAGCTAGCGAGGGGGGTGGTATCCATCGTCAGCCGTGAGGGGGGGGTGCTATCATCAGAGGGGGGGGAGTGTCATCCATCGTCATCAGCTAGAGAAGAAGAAACAAACGTTGAAAAATTCCCCGGCTCTCTAGCTGCTGCTGCTGATTGTTTGAACAGGACGCTTCCGCCACCGCTTTAGATAACAGCAACAGCAGCAGCAGCAGAGGCGACACACCCTCTCGCCCACAATGAGTGTAGAGAGATGCACAGCACAGCAGTGGTACTACATCGTCTAGGAACGAGCGTGATGTGTTACTGGTCCCGTGCTGTGATGTATGTGTGCCTCTCTCCAGAGCAGAGTCAGAGGCCGCTCCCTCCCGCCGCGTCGCAACACAATACGAACGCATATAGGATACCATGAGGATTGTCATTGGTTTTATTTCAAGTTGAAGAGGAGATATTTTTACGATGTAAGTGACAGTAGAAATAAGTCCTACACATGTTGTTGTACTTCGTATTGGTTTTATATTCATGTAGAGTATTAGACATATTAAGTGAAAGTTTTCTGAGGTAAACTTGCAATTGTCGGAAGGCAATACAAAAAAATATATATAACAACAACCAACCGATGGACCCACAGAGACCCAATCAA